CTATAATTTCTTTAATCAGTGCATATACAAATGTGCAATGATCTTTAACATTTTAGTTACGTATGATGCATATTTATTTTAATAAAGATAAATACATTGGATTCTCTGCATTACTCGTTTCTTTTTTTTTTTATAAGGAAAATCATAATTGCAGCTCACTGTTCAAGATGAAGAATGCAGTTAATGTATATATCCAGGGCATAGTGTTTGTCCCTCTCCCATCCTTCAGTCCTTAGTCCTTCCTTCCATCTGTCCATCCATTACACTTTGCAGTTAGTCTAGTTTGAAAGAAATTACCAGTATTCAAGATATTTTAATCAAAATTTATACACTGATACATACTACCTAATGAACTGTACCAATTTTTTTTTTAATTTGAAAATGATTTTTTGTAAATGTTGTATTATCACTATCTGCATGGACTAGGGTAACTTCAAAATAATATTTGTTTGCCCTTATTTAAACAAAAATGTGATGATAGTGAAATTTTTTTTTTGCCAGGAAATTTAAACACCAATGGTAAAAATTTTCAAACTGTGTCTTCTGGAATGCATTAGAAAATAATTGCTTGCTGGCGGATGAAGAAAATTTTTGAGTTTGGTCAATTTTAGCTAATCAGTCGGTAATCTCAGTGAGATGTCGAAGGGACTAAAAATATTGGTTTGTCAGTGTCCCGTCGACCAGACCAAAACTTTTAGTTCCTTCGACATCTCACTGAGATTAATCAGTTGGTAGAGAGAACCAAAACAGTTTTTTAAACAAGGCCATATAATGAACTTTCTAAATACAGTAAAACTCGGTTATAACAAAGTCACTAGGAACTGTGAAATTACTTCGCTATATCTGTAAATCGTTATAACAGTATAAAACATAGGTAATCAGAGATTACAGAGCTCACCTCAACGAATGTTGTCTTTAAGTAAGGCAAAGTCACACAATTAACCAACAAAAAGTATACATTCCAATGAAAATATTTTTAAAAGCAATTTTGATCTGATACTTTGAAATAGACCTACATAAAAAATTTAAACTACTTCTTCTTCATGAAAATGTAATGAAAATCCAGCATCTGAAGCAAATTTGAGAGTTTTCATCTCTTAATGCAGCATTTGTGCAAGTTTGGTTTATATAAGCCTTATAGTTTTTGGTAATAGACCTGCAACCATAACTTTTACCTTGTCTATTATCTGAAAAATGTATGTCCAATTCAGCATCCGAAGCAAGTCCATTAGTGTGCATCCTTAGATGTATCATCCATGCAAGTTTGCTCATTATAGGGCTCATAGTTTATTGGAAATGAAACATGCATCAAAACTAACATTTTCACTCATCCACAAAAAGTAGGTCAGATTCAGCATCCGAAGCAAGCCTGGAAGTATGCATCCTTAGATGTATCATCTATGCAAGATTGGTCATTAAAGAACTCATAGTTCCTTGGAAATGAAACCTGCATCAAAAACTTTTAACTATTCACTCAACCGGAAAATGTAGGTCAGATTCAGCATCCGAAGCAAGCCTGGTAGTGTGCATCCTTAGATGTATCATCCATGCAAGTTTGGTCAACATAGGGCTTAAAGTTACTTGCAAATGAAACCTGCACCAAAAACTTTCACCTGTTCGCTCAACTGGAAAATGTAGGTCAGATTCAGCATCCGAAGCAAGCCCGGTAGTATGCATCCTTAGATGTATCATCCATGCAAGTTTGGTCAACATAGGGCTTATAGTTACTTGGAAATGAAACCTGCACCAAAAACTTTAACCTGTTCACTCAACTGGAAAATGTAGGTCAGATTCAGCATCCGAAGCAAGCCCGGTAGTATGCATCCTTAGATGTATCATCCATGCAAGTTTGGTCAACATAGGGCTTATAGTTACTTAGAAATGAAACCTGCACCAAAAACTTTAACCTGTTCGCTCAACCGGAAAATGTAGGTCAGATTCAGCATCCGAAGCAAGCCCGGTAGTATGCATCCTTAGATGTATCATCCATGCAAGTTTGGTCAACATAGGGCTTATAGTTACTTGGAAATGAAACCTACACCAAAAACTTGAACCTGTTCACTCAACCGGAAAATGTAGGTCAGATTCAGCATCCGAAGCAAGCCCGGTAGTATGCATCCTTAGATGTATCATCCATGCAAGTTTGGTCAACATAGGGCTTATAGTTACTTGGAAATGAAACCTGCACCAAAAACTTTAACTGTTCGCTCAACCGGAAAATGTAGGTCAGATTCAGCATCCGAAGCAAGCCCGGTAGTATGCATCCTTAGATGTATCATCCATGCAAGTTTGGTCAATATAGGGCTTATAGTTACTTGGAAATGAAACCTACATCAAAAACTTTAACCTGTTCACTCAACCGGAAAATGTAGGTCAGATTCAGCATCCGAAGCAAGCCCGGTAGTATGCATCCTTAGATGTATCATCCATGCAAGTTTGGTCAACATAGGGCTTATAGTTACTTGGAAATGAAACCCACACCAAAAACTGCACCAAAAATGTTAACCTGCTCCAAAAACATTAACCTGGTAATTCCTTTGCTGAAATTGCAGCATCTGAAACTTTGTCTGGTACAATAAAACACACTAAAACCATCTTCCATGCATGTCTAATCAGTATAGGACACGGAAGTAATTAAAAAGAAAACTGCTCCAAAAAACTTAACCTTAACCTGGGACGCCGACGCCGACGCCGAGGGTATCACATAAGCTCCCCCCAACTTCGTTGAGGTGAGCTAAAAAGTAATTAAATCTATATAGCTGGGGATCCAAGAGGACTTCGCTATATCCGTAAATTAGCAATATCCATGTTCGTACTAAACGAGTTTTGCTGTACCTCCACCCAGTTGATTATGTGCCTGTGTATGTCTTCGTACAACAGTTCAAGTGGAAGGACAGACAAAGGTGTATGTTTCACATCTTTATTTCAAAGAGGGTTTGAATAGAGCCTTTTTAATGCAATACGTTGTCAGAATGACACTTCTGAATAAAATTGTTAACTCCCTCCCACCCCCACCCCCTTTATGGATACAGCACATGTACTAGGAAAAATGTTTAGCCTAGTGAAGGAACCTGTGTTGAACAAACCTTTATATTCACAGAGCAGAGAGTATACCTGAAGAACCTTTTACATAATATTTTCTGTCTTGGCAGATCTGAATGTTTAATAATTTTTTCACTCTGTTTTTATTATTTATTATCATGTTTTAAAAATTATCCTTCGTGTAAATTAAATGAATGTACCTTCATAAAAAGATGCTTTTAGGACAATAAATTTGTTCTTTGTTTAAAGAGAAGTCAAACATAAAAAAAAAAAAACAAGATGTGTTTGTGAAACACATGCCCCCGTATGGCAACACAGCAAAGATTAAACTTTTCTCAAATGCAAATTTAGTATGTTTGTACCAAAAGTAGGGTATTCACACTGGAAATACAATTATGAAAAATAAAAGTAGGCCAAGGTTAAAGTTTTTCTCATAGGTACAGGGTACGTAAATCTCCAAGGTCAAGGTCAAAAGATCAAGATAATTGGTATCCAATGAAAAGTCTTGTCACAAAAAATACATATGTGAAGTATGGAAGCCTTAGCCCTAACCCTTCAAAAGTTAGAATGTTAAAAATGTGTTTTAAAAAAGTTTAAAATTTTTAAAAGCAGGTCAAACTTCAAGGTCAAAGGGTCAAAAGTCTTGCTATCAAATGAAAATTCTTGTCACAAGGATTAAATATTTTAAGTATTAAAGAACTACCCCTAACCCTTTAAAAGTTATGGTCAAAGTTTGCTTTTTAAAAGTAGGTCAAACTCCATGGTCAAGGTCAAAGGGTCAAAGTTCTTGGTATCCAATGAAGGGTCTTCTCACAAGGATTACATATGTGAAGTTAAGATCACTAGCCCTTAGTGTTCAAAAGTTATGGCCAAGGTTAAAGTTTTTTCATAAGTTCGGAAATGTCAAGGTCAAAAGGTCAAGGTAATTTGTATCCAATGAAAGGTCTTGCCACAAAGAATACATATGTGAAGTATGAAAGACCTAGCTTTAACCATTCAGAAGTTATGCCCAAGGTTAAAAATTTTTAAAAACAGGTCAAACACCAAGGTGAAAGGTCAAAGATCTTGCTATCAAATGAAAGGTCTTGTCACAAGAATTTAATATGTAAAGTATGAAAGAACTAGCCCCAACCCCTTAAAAGTTATGGTTAAGGTTTGCTTTTTAAAAGTATGTCAAACTCCAAGGTCAAGGTCAAGTGGTCAGAGTTCTTGGTATCAAATGAAGGGTTTTCTCACAAGGATTACATATATGTGAAGTATGAAAGCCCTATCCCTTACCTTTCAAAAGTTATGGCCAAGGTAAAAGTTTTTTCATAAGTACGGAAATCTCCAAGGTCAAGGTTGTTGATATCCAATGAAAGGTCTTTCCACAAAGAATACACATGTGAAATATATTGTCTGGTATCTACTGTTCAAAAGATTTGGCCATAGTAAAAGTTTGGAATTTTTATGTAAAAGTGGATCAAACTCCAAGGTCAAGGTTAAAGGGTCATATTTGGTGGTAACCAAAGAAAGGTCTTGTCACAAGGAATACACATGTGAAATATGAAAGTCTTAGCTCCACTAAATTAAAAGTCATGGGCAAGGTTAAAGTTTTTGCGGACAAAAAGACAGACAGAGAGACAGCTAGACAGACAGGCGTACGGACATGACAAAAACTATATTCTCTGAAACTTCGTTTACAGGGGCATAAAAACACCACATAGTCGTAGAGATATGCTTGCATAAAATATTACTTGACATTTGCTCGGGTGAGCTAAAAATATCCGGAATTCCAAAATCCGATTTTCTGGTTTTTATTTTAGTACACCCGATCGATTTCCTGTATGCGAAAAACAAATTTTGAGGTGATCATGTCGCCTGCATCCAGAGATGTATAATAGATACGTCTCTACTGCATCGATTGATCGAAGGAAAACTTGGTTGGTTATCTTAATTACATAACAGATAAATATTTATGTCATTCTGTCAAAACATTGTAGAATTGAAGATTTTTTCAACTGAAAAATCGTACATCCAAATGTACTGTGCAATGTACTGATGTAAAATCAACACAATTTCATCACAATAATTCAGATTTCCTTTCATATGTATTTTTTTATTTCGTTGGAAAATCATCACTGCCACCTTCATTAGCTAATTACTCAACACCTTACAAACCTTTGCCTTTGGCAGTAGTGCTATTTAAAGTCAACATTTTTTCTCAAAGTGTTATTCGAATTTTATGGACATTTTTTTTTAATATTCAACAAAAATGTCACAACACTAAAGAAAAAGAAAAAAAATATCTCTTGGATTTTTTCTTGACTATTACAATTAATTATGAACCATGAAATACAGTTGCTTGCACAGTTAAAAAAAAGACCGTTACTCTACCCTCGAGTGCCCAGTAGTCCAGCGCTTAAGAGATAATCAGTGCGAAGTACAATTTAAATGAAAATTATAATTATTTCATCTGATATTTTATCTTATTGTCTAATTGTCTAATTTTCTTGTTATTAAAAATATTTCTAAGTGCTTTATTAAATTTAATATCGGGGCACAGAACAAGTAAGGTTTACGTCGGCCGTATATGTTTTGGACCAGTAGTCATGCGCTCGAATGTAGCAGCAAATATTGGGCCAAGAAAAATGAAAACAAAATAAAAACAATTTCAGGTGACTAAGATGTTATTCTTCAAGGATCAATTCAATCATATTCTGAATTTATTTAATTTAATTAAGTTTACGGTTGTTTTTCTAAAATAAGTCATAATTTTTTCATCACTCTTTATTTACAAGTATTTCTACGTAATAATTACAAATTTCAGTATAAGGACTATAGCATTTTTATTTAGTAATCTTTTAAAATTCTTGACAAAAGGAAAAAATGAAATACCCAGTGCCCATCACATATGCTTATGCTAATTAGCCATGTGCTCGTCGTGTCCATAGGTGGCGCCCCTGTGCAGGTTTAGTGTATATTTAGAAACTCTAAAAAGAGTATTAGCAAAATGGCGGCTTTTATTGATGTTTATGTCTATTTGATAAATTAATAAATGTTTCCTCCGCATATTTAACTTTTTGTTTTAGAGACGGCACTTCCTTCTCTCTTCTTTGAAAATCAGTTGTTTATGACGTAATATCATAGCACGTGACCAACTTTTGACAACAAACAAAATGGTGCACAACTACTGGGCACGCACGACTATAGGACCCTCGACCATATATGAATAATTTAAGAGAAAATTAATTTAAAACTGTAAAAATATATTGATACCTAACTTTATGGTGTAATATAAGTTATCCATGTTCAATCCATGTTCAATCAAGAGTGTATGGGGATTTACCCCAGGTTTTCTTCTCTACGCCCTGAAGCTGAAGGCTGAAGGGTGTATAGAATACAACCTGGGGTCAATAATTACCCATAAAACCTAGATTTGGCCTGAATAAAGAATTTATTTCCTAATTATCAGATAGATTCTTTATGGACAAAATTCTTATCAGTGGTATTATTTCAGACAGGGCCTATTGATAATTGAGCAAATGAATCATTATTATACCCCTCGCAACTAGTTGCGTGAGGTATAATGTTTTTGACCTGTCCGTCAGAGTGTCAGTCAGTCAGTCCTTTTTTTTGTCAGCGCAACTCCTCATAAACCGCTGCACAGAATTTCGTCAAACTTTGCAGCTATTTAGGACACAATGTGTAGATGTGCATATTACCAGGAAATTCCGATTCCATTATTTTTTCCGAGAATTTCCGCACTTTTTAACTTAGGCATTTGGCCATACCTTGAATATAGAGATGAACAGTTTGTCAGCGCAACTCCTCATAAACCACTGCATAGAATTTCATCAAACTTTGCAGGTATTTAGGACACAATGTGTAGATGTGCATATTACCAGGAAATTCCGATTCCATTTATTTTTTTTGAGAATTTCCACACTTTTCAACTTAGATTTTTGGCCATACCTTGAATATAGAAATGAAGATTTTGTCAGCGCAACTCCTCATAAACCGCTGCACAGAATTTCGTCAAACTTTTGAGGTATTTAGGACACAGTGTGTAGATGTGCATATTACCAGGAAATTTCGAATCCTTTATTTTTCTGGGAATTTCGGCACTTTACAACTTCGATTTTTGGGGATATCTTGAATATAGTGATGAACAGTTTGTCAGCGCAACTTCTCATAAACCGCTGCACAGAATTTCATCAAACTTTGCAGATATTTAGGACACAATGTGTAGATGTGCATATTACCGGGAAATTCCGATTCTTTCATTTTTTTTCGGGATTTTCAGTACTTTGAGTTTTGGGGGAGCGTGGGGTATGTGAGCTTGCTCACTTTTTCTTTCATTTTTTGAGAGTTATAGTCTCATAACTGCAACAGTGTATGCAAACAAAGTGCAGTATTTTAATGAAAGACATTATAGAGGAGATGCATTGGTTATTTTTTTCTTAAGCTCCTTGCATAAATGAATTTTTTATAAAACTCAAGGACTGTTGTATTCCCAATTATTGTAGTATAATGAAATTAAGTGTTGTATTTCTTTCCTAATGCAGAGAATTTCCCCCTAAAATTTTACATTTAGTTGTATCCATTTGGATCTTGTCTGGACAAAAGGGTATCATATCCTTCATTTTATATACCGTACATTGTACATAACTAGAACACAAAAGAAATACAGTTTAAATAATTAGGTCAGTTGTTCTTTTTTTTATGAAAGTTAAAAGATTATCCTGTATTTAAATAATTTTAATTTTTTAGAATGAGCTATGAAAGAAAAATTAAGGAACAAAAAGGGAAAATCTCCACAAAAGAGGAAAGAGCATGGATTTCAGACAATTACTTCAATGTTTAGGAAGCAGCAGCTAGCAACTGAAGTAAGCAAATCGGAAGTCATTTCCACCTCAGACACCAACTCAAAAGAAGAAGAGGAAGACATACAGATAACCTTTGTTGAAACAACATCTAGTTACTTTTTGTCTAAAGAAAAGACATCAAAATCTGTGAAAAGGTTAAGCTTAAGGAAAAATAGAGTCAAAGAAGATAATAAAACATTAGACTCCCCGTCAAACTCCACATTAGGCAGTAATGCTGATTTAAATGAGATGAGAACAATTTCTACTGATCAAATACATTCCAAAATTAAGGAAAATAATAGAATTGAGTGTGAAAAATCATATAAAACAGAAAAAGTTGAAGTACCTCTATCCAGCTCAAACACAGACGGAAACTCCAAAACGAAACTTTCACTGAGAAAACGGAAGTCTGAATGTCCTAGTAAAGAAACTAGCCTGGTAGAGAAAAGATTCAGAACTGTTGAAGAGAAAAAGGAAGACATCAGTGAGATAAAAAGAAAGAAAAGTGTGCCTAATGTTGGTCCTCTTCAATCTGGAAGAACAGAGACTAAAGGAAACAATGGGGAAACTGATGAAGATCAGACAAACAACTCTAAAACATCTACCCCACTGCCAAAAGACAACAGTTAGTTTTTAGCTCTGTACATGTACTAAGACTGATAATTCTATATACTATATATGGTTTTTGCTTTGGACGAACTGTCTTGCCCTGACAACTAAAATTAAAATTTCTATGAAATTTATTCTGTGTTAATCCATCAGGCAACAGACGTAGTACATAATCAGAGCTTAGAGTATACTACTTATAAGACATATTTTTGATTTTGACAAGATGTTGACATGATTTCTAAAAATAGAAAAAATCGTGGAATTCTTTCAAAATGCTACTCCTTCCATAGTTTTGGTCTGATTTGGATAGTACAATTAGACTACCGTATACCCGCGGTATACTCGTCTCCTATAAGTCTGTCCACCTAAAAGTCGGTTGTATTTTTTGACGTTATTTTGGAGAGATTTGCTATTGACCCGCTTACCGGGTATAAGTCGGTACAAATTTTTGCCAAAATCTGGTGACAGATTCAAGTAAATCCATTAATGTTTTATCCTGGATTCAATTGATATTTTTTCAAAATGACACTGATATTTAATCTTAAATTATTAAACAAAAAGGCAATGCTCACTTAAAATACAAATAAAATTATTAAAATATGTAAATACTTGTACTTTATCTATATAATCTAAGAATGCATAAATTATCATATATATCCAGACATTTCTTCAATAATCACCGGAAATGC